TGTGTGTGTGTGTGTGTGTGTGTGTTTGCGTGCACGGGTGTGTGTGTGTGTGTGTGTGTGTGTACATGCGTTCCGCTGAGTGTGTGTGTGTGTGTGCGCGTGTGCCGGGGGAAGGGGAGGGAGGACCCCTCCCCCACCAATCAATCAATCAATCAATCAATCAATCAATCAATCAATCAATCAATCAATCAATCAATCAATCAATCAATCAATCAATCAAATAATCAATCAATCAATCAATCAATCAATAAAAAAACAGTCAATCAATAAAAAAAATAAAAAATAAAATATATAATTGTTTTTGTCAGTCACCCAAAACCACCCCCCAAAATTTTCAATTTTTTTTTTTTTTTTTGTACAGGGTGGTAGTGGCCGACGTGCGCAGGCGGGGCGCGCGTGCCGTTTTTCCACGCGCGCCCCTGCCTGGCCTTGGCGAGGCCGCGCGCAAACTCGGCCGCGGGCCCGCGGCCACGCACCACTCATCTTCTCTGAGTATGAAAGTCGACGGCTTGCCAAGGACAAAGTTCGTCCCTCCTGACCCACCCAGGTTTTGGATAGCCAACGTTGCCCTCACAGGTAGCTCGTTCTCTTAAGGGGGGAGTGTGTTACATACTGGTTTCCACACGGGCCTTATTAGGCCAGAGGGCTAGGTCTAGGGGGTTGTCCCAGACCTTGGCCAAGCTGCTGGCCAGTCCGACCTGGGCTAAAGGTCGGACCTTTCGCAAAGGCCACCCTTAGGCCTCCACCAACCGGATGCAGATCCAGGTCTGCAGCTGCAGACCCTAAGCGGGCAACACTGGCGGCCGAAGTTGAGGCTGCAGTTCCCTGTTGGGTCTGATCTGAACCGCAGATCGAGCTGACGGTTCTGATCACGACGCGGCTTCAACAGCAGCCAGGCCGAACAGACCACCGCCAGCGGCCTGTTCAGGGGACTTGAGACTGCAACATTCAGGAGCTTCAGCGCTGAGCTAGTTTGGTTGAGCGCAGCTCCAGACAGTAGCGCTAAGTGTAGTGAAAGCTGCATTGGTGAGAGAGAGAGTAGAGGGACTTACCTGTTACCTACCTGTGAGCGTCATAGCTCCAGCGTCGAAGGCAGGTCTTCAGAAGCTCCAAAGTGGTACCTTGCGCCAGCAGGTTGGTACCTGGACACTGGATCAGAGCAGTTAGGACTAGCCTCCTCCCCACCTCTCCATCTCCACCTTCTCCTCTGCCCCTCTCGGCTCACCATCTTCTTCTTCTTCTTCATCATCATCTTCTCCTAACCTTCTACATTCATGGCTACTATCTGGACAGAGATCGATGGTGGGCTGTCGGTGACATGAGGACGGAGACTATTTCAGACTAGGACATTCGGAGGACTATTTTCAGAAATCTGACTTCAGCGGCATTTCAAGATTCTGTATCTTCGATATTTCAGGATTTAATTTTACAACTTCGGTGACATTTGTGTTGGCGCCATCTCCTCCTCCTCTCTTCGTCCCTTCCCCCTGCATTTCGTCTGTGTGTGGTCTGTGCAGGCCCTGGCGCCATCTTCCATGTTTGGAGCGCCGGCCCCTCCCACCCGACGAATGTATGTATCTGAGCCTGCATGTAGTCCAACTCAGGATGTGAGTCAGATCCATGTTTATCAGTCTTCAGCTGCATGTTATTGCTCTTTGTTCATTGGTCAGTTCTGGGTTCTGCATCATACTTGTGTTCGCTTTACTAGTATGCAATAGGGCGTCAGAGTGTCTGACGCGGTGCAAGACACTCTTAAGAGAGAGAGAGAGAGAGAGAGAGAGAGAGAGAGAGAGAGAGAGAGAGAGAGAGAGAGAGA